TTTATTATTTTTATTAAAATTTATATATATATATTTTATGTATTTTGATTGGCTAATTTTAGAGTCAGGTAGGGGGGAGGGGGGGTAGGCTATTAAGTGAGAGAAATCAGGTGATAAATGACACCTCCCTAATCTGCAAGACAATATTAATGAACTCATTATTGATTCAACTTTTAAAACAAATCAAGAAAAATTTGAGCTCTTTGTAGTAAACGCCAATTGCGGTGGATATGGTGTTTCTTTAGCGTATTTATACTTAGATATATATACAGCTTCAAAAGAACAGCTCTCAGATCCTAATAATCTAGTCCATACAAGAGTCAGTGTACTTAAAGAATTTTTTGTCAACTTACGGAGTGAAGGGATTTTACCGACATTTGTGTTTCTTGATAAAGATAATAGAGAAATCATTGCTGCTAAGGAAGCCTGGGCTCAAACGGCAAAAATTCAGCTTTGTCTCTGGCATATAGAACATGCAATTAAATGTAAGCTGAAAGAAAAAAAATTCGAAAAAGTCAGTATTCAGCACAAAAAGCATATGATGCAAATCTTAAGTTCGAATTCATTAATCCTTCTTGGCTTCCCGGAGAATCACTAGAAAAAATATGTCCTAAAGAACTAATTAAAGAATTAATAGAAATTGTTAAAAAACATGTACTATTTCATCTATTAATTCTAATAGGAAAAGATATTTTTCTTTCGTCAGAAGCAATTAGACATCAAAGCATTTTAGAAGTTTACCAGTTTTGCTATCAAAAGAATCTTGTCGATTTGTGGGGATATTTATAGATAAACTGGTACAATATAAATGATTGAAATCTCTTTGCATGAGCAGCTTATCCAAAAGCTATATCTATTGCAAGAACCACAATGATTACTGAATCACATTGGCGTGTTCTTAAATACAATTACAAGTATAATATAAATAGGCCACGTCTAGACCGCCTAACATATATTCTTATCAGAGAATTAGTTTCAGACATAGAAAATACTTGGAGAAGGTATCACTATAATCGTGAATTCTCATTATGGTGGGATGCATTTAAGCATGATTGGAAGTCTGCGATAGAAAAAGAAATAAATTTAGTAGACTGCTATCATACTGATACAAATAACTGGGTTTGTTCGTGCCTAGCATTCTTGTATAACCCTTACATGTTGTGCAAACATCTGGTAAAAGAATATTCTAAAAACAATCCTTCCTCCTTTCCACAATTTTGTACTACAATATGCCGACACGACTATCTATTTATTGCTTTTGGTAAAATAGATTTTCTAAGAATTAATATTAATAATAACCCTTGGAATAATGTTCTACAAGATAATATATTAAATTCAATATCTGCTTCAGAACAATCAAGTAGTCATGGAAGGTCTCATATTTCTGAACACCATGTGATTATTGAAAATAGAAAAGCCAAAATAATTTCAGATATTAAAACATTTGATATATTAGTAAAAATTATAGATGAAAATATAGAAAATGATAAACTTTATAAAGCATATAAAGCTCTTATACAACCTCATATTTAGAAAATATCAAGAATATTCAAACAAATTTTTTATAGCTTAAATCTATTAATATTAATTTTAAATTTATAGTTTTAATATAATTTTATAGTTTGTTATTTAAAAAAAAATTAAACTACTATATAAATAATATAATAATTATAGTTTGTAGTATTCTAACTAAAAAATTAAACTTATCTAGTTTTATTTTGTAATTGCTATAGCTTCTACTTGCAATTTAATTAAAACTTTAAATTGTTATATGCTACTTAAATATAATTTGTCTAACAATACTTAATTCTTTTTAAGAATTTAAACTTACTAAGAATTTTTGTTTCTTGAATTTAACAGTTAACTATTGCTTACTTTGTTAAAATTTTAGCTATATAATAAAAAATATTGTCTTAGAGTATAATGACTTAATATAATTGGTAAATTGTTACTTTCAAGCAGCAGGATTAGAGTTTAAATTTCACCAGAAATGAAATTTAAATTTAAGAAATATATAATAATCAAACTGTATAACATATTAATTGTGTCAGTATTTATAACTTTAGTTATATCAGCTTGTACTGAGATACAAAAATTATATGAAACCTAAATGAAGCAACCAAATAAATTTAAAAAATCAGAGAATATGAAAGCCTACTTAGCAAGACTCAAGTAGAAAAGTAACACAAATCTTTGACAATACATGTAAAGAATTATTATTTAGAAAACCAGATACCTGACAAATTACAGTAAATAAGACTGAAGTATTAGACAAAGCATATTATTATTTACTGCTTTTTGTTACTGGTTCTTAGGTGAATCACAAATTAACTCAAAAATCTAGATAAGCTATGGCTGCTCTGATAGGTTTAGATTGCAAATAATTCTTTTAACTTTTTGTTTAATTAATTTTGTGGGCTCTGTTTAATATCTTTTGAATATAAAGTTCAAATAATGTAATTTTTTTATTTAAAAAAAAGTTTAGTTGAATTTCAGTAAAGATAGAGGTATGGCCTCACCTTTGAAGATTAAAAAAAGATAAAAATAAAAAATATATATATAGTATATTATATAGCAACCCAATAGTAAATTCAAGAGTGTAACGACTTAGTGAAGTGGTGAAGTTGTCACACTCCCAAGCAGTAGAGTATAAGTTCAATTCCTACAGAAGGCAAAAAATTAAATTTAGAAAAACAGATTCGGCAACTATCATCGTGGCTGGGAAAACTCGAGACCCTGTAACTGTAATCATACCAAGATAAAAATTGGAAGGTTCTGGGACATTTGTGTAATAAAGAAATTACACAAAAGCATGCAAGCCGGTTTAGTCAGTGCAAACCCAAGATAAGTCCTTCAGAATCGCAAAAAGCTACAGGGCCAATACGGTGGTAGGGTACTCGCTTGGAAAGTCCCGAATAAAGAGGTAGCACAAATTTTCAATGGTACTACATGCAGATTAATACTTGAGAAACTGGATAAACTGAATGGGACTGAAGTGTTTGGCAAGACACTCCACCAACTAGGCCGCCAAAAGAGTAACTGGAGGAAAAGGACCCAATCATGGGGACCAGAGGCAGGCCATAGCCTTTTCAGACCATCTGGATTGGTAGTTTGGAATAGCTGAGATGACTAGGAAAAGTTTGTAGGTATGCCAGAGTTTGGGTGAACTCTATAAGAGCGGTAGTAGGTAACTGTAGTGGCTTCAGCTCACAAGTACTTGTCCTCAGACTTGGCGTAAGTTACCAAAGAAGACTAGATAATATGGGAAAAGTGGGTACTGGACTGCTCTAGCAGGTGATGCACTCGAGAATAAATCGGTTAACCATGCCGATAGTCTTATAAGTGGACGTGATGATCTTGAAACTTGGACTGACTTATATATTGCATGTTCTGGGTGAGGTTAGATGGATTGATATAAAAAACTCAGATTAGAGGGTTTAATCGGGTAATTCAAATAATAGTGGGTTACAGGTACGGCATCTAGTGTAGCACCTAACACATAGGTAAAATCACTTAATTAGGCATCCAAAAGGTGCAGATATGGCTAGAATGTATCTTTGTCAGAATGTACTTGTCTGGGGCCCCTTTGAAAAGAACACCACATGATCCTAATATCTAATAAAAGCGATAAGCCGAAGAGGCTAACCTTGACTACAAAAAAAAAAAAAATAGTAAATTCAAAAACAACAACACAAATAAACAAGCTAAAGCTATTTTAAATAAAGTGAAAAAATCTTAAAAAGCTTAGATAATAAAGATAATAAAAAAGTTAAAAATTAGATAAAAAACCCTTTTTAAAAATTTATCAAAATAGGCCTCACCTTTGAAGATTAAAAAAAAAAAAAAATTATCAAAATAGACCCTTTTATTATAAGGCACCCTATTTATATAAAAAAAAACGGCATTGTTAAATCACACCGTGGTGTTTAATACCACAGTTGCTATTTCTCAAAAACTGTCTAAATAACTAACCAAAGCCGAATGTATTAAACAAAATGTTCAGCAACCCAAAAAACCTTACCAACTTTTATTATTAACAGTGCTAAAGCGCACCAGCGATATTCAACACCATATAAGTTTATGAAAACTTATAGGTTAAGATAGAGTTAGATATAAAGGTTCAAATTTAGTTAACATAAGGTTTTTGTGGGTTCTAAACATTTTTATTTAAAACACCAACCCTAGTTGGTTTTTGAGATATAGCAACTGTGGTGTTGAACATCATTGGATGCTTTCATAAACAAATTTTTATACATTTTTTAAAAATGTATTAAATTTAGTACAAAATTCAAACCATTAAACTTATTAAGAACATGTATAGCCGTTTATTTATTTATTTTTTTCTTTATATACAATTTACTTTGCAAAAGTGAAGATACTGTATATATTATTTTAATTTTTTTAATTTTTCAAATAAATTTGTCTAAGTTTTAAGAAATTTTCGTTGGCAGCATGAGTTTCCAGATTATAGTTTATTATTGGAAGATTTAATTTCTAGAGATAACAAATTAAGCCGTATTAAAATTATCGACTCGGCTAAGCTTATAAGCCTTTAATCGACTACGACCACTAGTCACGACCCTCTTTGAAAGAAATTTGTTATTAAAGAATGATATTGGAAAAAATTATGTGCCAAAATTAAATCCTATACCATAAAATTTTTCCAGAAAACCTTCGGGCTTAGGAGGTGATTCGTCTTTCGAAAAGTATCTCATGATATGCGTGTCCATTTTCCAATTATTAAGGGTTTCTTGATATTCGGCACGGCCTTTAAAAATCAAGACGTCAATTACCCTTAAATCGCTAACATAACGGTTTTTTTCAAACTCTTCTCTGATTTTCGCACGTGCCGTTGCTACGGGAAAATCAAGAAGATATGATTGAACTATTTTTGGAGCCTTTCTTAAATAAACTTGTGAATAAGAATCTTATAAAAACTAGTACTTGTACAATGTTCAGCATTGAAACGGAAATTAGTAATATTTTTACCGCCCGTTGCCAATCTCTATATAAAGAGAGTACTCTTGATCGTGCTTCTGAAAATGAGGAAGAGGACACTACTTTTGCAGCATAGGCCGCTGGAGTTGTCGTCATTATGCTTGCGATTCAAAGTATACTGAGTTAGATCGAAGGTTGCACCATAGATACGGGGGTGATCCGCCAAATTGCAAAAATCAATGAGTCACGTTCTGCCATATTGAATAAATATAAATAGTGAAGACGACAATCACGTTCTTTTTTAAAACCTCTTTAGTTTTTAAACATTCTGTAAGTTTTTTTTTTCTTTTTATAGATCCTTACTATTACGAGTAGTCTTATCTCACCTAGCGCAAAAAGAAAGGAATTATAGTATAACTATATATTGCAAATCACCACATTTAGACGCCAATATAGAAGCGATTGTGGTATTGCAAAACACAATTATTGCGCTTGTGAGTTCACTTTGCTCATAAAAAAACATTCTTTTTTTTTCCACAGTATACCCATAAACTATTTTGACAAAACTTGTTTATTCTTATGTCATCAACGCCATTCCCTCCAATCGTTCGCATTGATCGTGAATTATCTGCAGTTGTAGAGAACGACCCATATCGGCTGAATACTCGTAATGACGATCGAACAGGAATCAATGACTTATCAGCAACAACTCAGACGAGTTCAGGGAATGCATCAACTTCGACTCAAATAATTCCTGATGTGCGTTCGCTAATGCAGCCTGAAGAAGTAAAAGATAAAAGGTGTTGGATTTGCTTTGGCGAAGAATCCGACAGTGTGGGTAAATGGGTACGACCCTGTAAATGTTCTCTTATATGTCACGAAGAATGTTTGCTTGCTTGGATTACGGAAAACCAGAAAAGCACTGCGCTAAAGAAGGTTTGTCTTAAATAATCTAAACTTATTTTAATCGAATTAAAATTTACTGACACTTAAATTCATTCTAATAGGTACGGTGCCCTCAATGCAGAACCTTATACCATCTCGCCGAGCGAGCGTCCCTTCTTTTACGCGTTTTTTCTATCGTTGATTCTGCAATCCAATCTTCGATTCCATATTTCACTATTTTCGGTGTTACTTTCGCTATCGCAGTTACAAATATTCACTATGGGTTAGTGGGAACCATGATAATTTAAACTTATCGTAGTATAATAAATATTTACGATTTTTTTAACTGTTTTAGAGCGTATGCAGTAATCACGATGGTTGGCCTCGAAGATGGCGAACGTCTTTTGGAAGGACCCTGGAGCTGGAGGATCTGTGTAAGTATCTCTAATAATTGATGTATATGAATGATATTGTATTAACTATATATATTCTTATGATATTTATAAATAGTTTACTCTCCCTCTTGTTCCGATGTTGCTTATCTTTTCGAGGGCTCGTATTGCCGATCCGGTGATGCCACTTATCCCTATGCTTTTCATCAGATACGATCAACTAAGAACTACAATGCCTCTGAACCCATCTCTTACAATCTCTCTCTTACCATGGGCTAGAATCATTTATAATTATACTTATACCCGTTTGTTTGGTCGACTTGAGCAATCATGGCGTAGGCAGCTAGAACCATATTCAGTTACGACAGATTCTGAAAATGGTGAAAATGGTAATGAACGGCGTCGGGAGAATCAAGATATGTTGGATCGTTTGGATAGAAGCAATGCTGGACGCAAAATTATTGGTGCATTGTGCTTGCCATGTAAGTCTATAAGATAATTTTAAGTATTTTATATTGCTCTCACTCAGTAATAATTAATTATTTTATTACGTATGCAATAGTTATTTCTGCTATGGTTGGAAGGTGAATATACAGATTTCTTGTTCATAATGTATTTACGGTTATATATGCGATTGACAATTATATGTTTTCTCAATAGCTTCCTTGGTCGCTTTTCATTTATTCGCTCACGTATACCAGACACTTTTCACCGCAATGTTCTTGGTGGATGTCTATTTATAGTCATAAAGGTTCGTGATTTTTGTATGTGTTAATATTTTCATATATGATGATTGATTTATTTGTTCAACTTTAGGATATTATGAATCTCACATATAAATACCAAAGAGCAAAGCATCGGCGGTCCAGGCATATCAAAAATTATACAGAATTTGCGAATGAAGAATTAACATCTAATACTAGATAACAGTTGAAATGGAATAATTATTATAATGGCTCATAGAAAACAAAAATCATTGATAAACAAATTATGAAAAATTATATCTATACATTATCATTTTTGGTATATCATCTAATCTCTAAAAAACAATCTCATTATTTTTTTTACGTTGGTATGTAAAATTTTGTATTTAGCTACAATAATAAATTAGTTACACTAAAGCGGCAAAGAACTGTTGACTAATGTCTATGGCTAATCAAAAGTCATGCTGCTTTGCCGATTAAAATCATTAATGGTATATTTTACAAAAAAAGTAATTAGAAAAACCTATAAAGAAAAAATTGGTCTTTATATCTCTCTTAAACAAAAAAACTTCTCTTACGAATGTTATACTAAAAATGGTTACGATCATGCGGAAAAATAATAAAGGTTTTATTATTGACAATGCTTGTTTATAAAAATTCTTTTATTAAATATTATCACGGAAAATAATAAAACTTGAATTACAAATTTTAAATAGTGTATCAAGGTTTCCACTGTTCGTCCATCAATGTCAGTGTTAGTAATATTTTTTTGACCCTTTTGCTTAGGGATAGGAATCGGCTATATGATTTAGTCGACTAAATCGACTAAACATAGTAATTTACTTATAAATTTTTTAGCCGGCTAAATCGATTCCTATCCCTACTTTTGCTGATGGCCAATATCCAACTTCTAACGCTAGTTTATATAATATTAGCCAATCATATTGCCAGCATTTCTATACATTCCGGCCAAATTATTATTTTTAAATTTGATCATCTGCTATTAGTTTTAGTGTTTTGAAAATTACACATTTGAGTGCGTGAGAATAAAAACCTGGAACTGATTATAATGATTGACTATGATCAGTTACAGGTTTTCATTCTCACGCACTCATTTCATATAATTTGCGTGTCATTTCATGTAAATTTCACACATGGTACCAGCACTATTTAAACTTAGCTAGCAAAATTTAGACGCTGCTATATCTAGCCAATCACGTGGAACCATTGTATGATTGATCGTTTCTTATAAATTACATGAAATCGAAATTTACACAAAATCACAGTTAATGGAGCACTCCGTTGACTCCGTTTAATAGTAATACTCCCCCGGTCACTATATCAAGATCACGGGAGGATTAATTAATAATACTCTGACCGTATGTGAATAAGCGGAAACTTCGTTTCCGCTAATTCCCAACGGATCAGGATATTATTACAAATGGAGTCAACGGAGTGCTCCCTAGTAGTGTTAGATGCATTAATGATGGCTTATGGAAATTAAATCTGAAACATGGTGTTCATATTTTGCGGGTATATCATTTCAAATAAAATATTTTACGTATTAATGATGCACATAAGGTTGCTAAAGGTCAAGGTGGACCTTGTCTTTCTTAATCCTGTAATGTCATTACAATATAGATGTACTGTTACACCCGAAACTACCTCTTAGAAGTTCGGTATAACGTTTTACTATAGCGACGGATATAATAGTCGATTAATAACAAATGCCGATTTATGCTAAGTAAAGTATATGGTTAGTTGCGGTTACGCTTTTTAAGAGGATTTGTGTGATTTGCACTATGAAAGAGGCAAACGGCTAATTGTATGTGAAGATACAAATAGTCGTGTAAACAAGTTTATGACTTATACTCAAGTTATTCGTGTATGAAGACACTGTAACAGAGTAATGATTTATTCAATAAAGCATTCGAGCTATTCGTGTATGAAGACACGATTACTCTTTATTTATTGGGGAGGTGTTGTTGGAACTTCGAGTTCTGTTCTTTACAAGAGTAATTGATTCCTGTTACTATTTTTACAAATTACAAATTTACTAGAACCACTAATTTTAAAAGAAAGCATTAGTGCTATTAATGTAATAAGTGCTTTAAAACTACTGGCCCTATCTATATTACTTTAGCGATAGTTAGCGCTACTTAACACTCTTGGCATTAGTGTTACATTTCCGCTTAATATCACATGATGCTAAATTACAGGGTTTAACAGTACCAAAAAATCACGAATGGAGCACTTCGCTCTTTTCAAATTATGATTAAAGAATCATGGTGTTCATATTGTATTGTGCAGGAAATGCGAATTGTACACTTGATAAGTAGCTCGAAACAGAAATGGAAATTGTCTTTTTGGTAAATATATTAATAATAACACAAAGTTGCATTGACGCTGTGATAAAAGTTATGAATGGTTTGCTTCATTTGCCAAAATTAAAAGAATGTTCTCATAGAAAATCCTACACTCTTGAATCTCTTGAATATATCAAGCAATATGATGTCTCCAAAAAATATTTTAACGTTAATATTCCATTACAGTGACAGTAAAACTTTAAATGCATTTGTGATTTATTTTATTTTATTTTTTTTTAAACGTGCTTGAAGCCAGAGTAAAAGACTCACATAACTGCGCGGCCCTGGGTCTCATACTTTCACAGAAAATTTTTTACATATCATAGCTCTATGAATGAGGATTTCGAAGTAGTATAGCACAATAAACTTTCCAGTTACTGATAACAGAATAGGTAGAAAACGCTTAGTACGTGATCAAAAGGTATACTGTATATCGCGTGATACATTGACCTGGGATCTCATAATTGATCTACATACTGCAAAAATTGTATTCTTGATGTTTATATATAAATAGTAACAATAACTGCATCAAAAAAGTAACCCTAACTCGTACCCGTTCTCCAAATTTTTCCAAAATCAATAAAAAGAACAGTAATTACATTTTCATCGCTGATTTTATAGTATTGCAAAGAAAATAATATTCTAAGAAATAAAAGCATAGAATACAAAGAATATTATAATTACCTTATTTATATAGCAAATAATAATCTTTTTCATGTCCCAACCTTACTTTCATACTCGTACGTAATGAATAACCCTATATCAAACACAATAAAAACATGTAGTGTTTTTTTTAGTGGCTTCTTTTT